GTATCAATATTAAATATTAAAAAATAGCTTATGTTTTCGTGATTTAGTGTTTTGTTTTGGCATTCTAAAGTCAAAATATGTATTTGAGACTTTCTGTCATATATTTATGATGTATGTTAGATATCAAATATCTTTTAATATTTTCTTGTATTAGTTATAAATTAAAATTATACGATTATATGTCTTTTAAATGCAATTAAAATATTACTAATACTTCACAAAAGTTTACTTGAACGGGAACACATTTTGATACATATTTGAATTTAAAACTTTCAAATTTAGGACTATTTGAATTCTGATTTCAATAAATTTTTTATAAAGCTGAACTTTTTGATGAGATCAAATCAATGCCACAGACAGTGGAGAAATTATTCTGTCCGGATACGAACGTCGTCTAGAGGCGAATCAGAACGCACCACATCACCCATTTACTATGTACTGCAGCTTTGTACCAATGTGTACCGGGTGAAGTGGCGCGTTCTGATTCGCCTCCAGATGATTTGATGTCTGCGCAAAATAATTTCTCCAAAAACTGGTATGAACTAAGTTAGAAAGAGATCAAACATTTGAAATATAATATAAAACTTTGGGACCAAATGATCCCCAAATTTTATGTGCCTATAATCAAATCGAGCATTGCCTAATATCATTAAATTCCAACATTTTTAAGGCACATAAATGCTAAAAGAAAAGTATATGATTAAGGAACTCAATACAGGTCGTCCTGTGGAGTGCGGTTTTGTATATATTTATAAAGCTTGCTACTCATAAATTATAAATAAAATCTCACTATCTATATATGAAGGGAAACATTTGGTTAAAAATTCAAGAGAACTTAAATGCTCGAAGTATCTCACAATTTCATCACATGATTGTCATTATAGGATTACTGTTGACAGACTACCACCGACAAACCACCATCATTAAACCACCATTATTTGACCATTGCACTCAAACCATCGCAGCTTAAACATCACTACGAGACCACCATCGTCTAACCATCACCTTTGAGCCATCGCCATCATACCACTGGTGTCTAAACCAAAATTGGACCTCCACCCTCTAACACCATCACTTAGTTAAAGTCTTTCAACCATTATACCCCAACTATGGTACTTCCATCACCATTGCCCAACTTCAGTTCTCCATAATAACTTAACCATGGTCCTCCGACCATTATCAACTTATTATGATCCTTTAAGCACTGACCATGGTATTTCAACCACTATAGTCCAATTACGACCATTTTCCCAACTTCACACGAGAACCATTCTCTGACTACCATTGCCCAATTATGATCTCCTAACCATCATCTTCTGACTACACCAACACTCATTGGCTTTGTCACCCCACTGTTACAAATAGTATCAACATACACCATCACTTAATTATAAGGAAAACACATGTCATTAACACGAACACTGACTCTTGTTGTTCATCACCTGCTATTGTTAATAACATCAATTCATATCATCACCCATAAGGTTGCCATCATCACAAGTGCTAACACCTGCTAACTTCATAGCCACTAATATTAATGCACATAATCTCCTATAAGGTCAATGAATGCAATCAACATTAACTATGATTCCCAACATCAATACCAAGATTTGTATCTCCTCTTCAAACAAGAATGGCCAAAAAAATAATAAATAATATCTTAAAAATAGCTTCCATGACACAAGGATCTTTCAGCTTTCATCACCTAATCCATTTTATATAGTTTATGTCTATTTATATTTTATGAACAATTCTTCAATCATAGAGCAAGGCATTTTTTAGAATTAATGATGAATGCTAGTAAAATTATTAAAACTGCCGAGACCTCATGATTTTTTTCTCTGAAAAAACTCTACTGTCACTTGTAACTCTTCTTTTATCTATTATGTGTGTGCATGCTGATGTATAAAATTAAGACATTAAGAACTTTCTCTCTTCCACTATAAATATTCTTGTCATCAATAGTTTGACATTGTTTGTGGAAAGTTCTAGTCAGGGGCAACCCTTACCATAACTTTGACAAGTTATTAACATCAATGTTTCGGGCATAATTGTAACAAGGCAATCCATTAGCCATCTACTATTTCATCAATTCTAAAAGAAGCAAATTAAAATTGAGGAATATTTCATTACTACATCAATGCCTCATCTCAAATGATTCCATTAGTGTCAATACCAAATGATGATGTTTGATATCACCATTACAAACACCCCTTGTTATCATACTCTTACTTTGATGATACTTGAAATGTACATATATCAAAAATATATAAAAAAACTATTAAATGAGAGAGAGAGAGAGAGAGAAACTATTAAAGAAAATATATCAAAAATATAAAAAAACTATGCAAGAATATATGCCTTGAAATTTTCTTTCCAATAACATCAAGCTAGAAAGTTCATTCATTTGGCATTTCAATAATTTTTTTCTTATGACAATACAATCTAAGAATCATTGACCAACAGTTACTCAAAAAATTTTCTAAGAAAAATTACTTAGAGAAAAGCTCTAAATTTTTTTGTGTAATGTCTACACATACATGGAAGTCTTATAGAAATTTCAACTCATTTTCACAAACACATGAACTACAAAAAATTCTTAAAATATGCCATCAACAAAAAATTATTATTTAGGAATTGATGTTCATGAATTGTCTACCCTATTAAACAATAACATTTTGGCATGATAAAATTCATAAAAATAAGTGTTCATGATGCTATTTATATTCACAAAAAAAAAATTAAATTAAATAATCACACGATCGAGGAAATTCACCGAATATAAAATCATAATAATTACAATATAAGAATAATAAAAAATAAAAATTCTTTAAAAAATAACATCAATCCTTTATCTCATTATGTGGGGTTGATTATATGAATCATTTTTCTCTACTGTATCTTATTTAGTCAAAATCTCATTTAAATCTAATAAGAATATATCATTGCTAATTATTTCTAACCGAATCCTTTTTTGGTCTACCTTTGCATTTCTTAATATAGACCAAATCTAATACATCTACTATCTTAACTAGATCATCGGAAGACCGACATTTTATGTGACCATACAAACCGTCTAAGACGACTCTCTCTAATCCTATCTGCTGCTAGAGCTACTTCGATCCAACCTTTTCACATATATACTTGTTTCAAATTATGTCTCTAAGCGTAAATTCACCCATCCACCTGAGCATCCTCATCACTACAACACAACTTAATTTTATGCGTTTTTTTAATGAAAAATATTCTACGTTAAAAAGCATTGTAGGTCTCTCTGCCATCATATAGAATTTAATCTTTTAAGTTTGAGAATTACCTTTCTATTACAGAAAAGGGCCAATGCATTCCTCCACTTCAACCATCCAAATTCTTTAGAAAAACAAAATTATGAACAATTTGGGAGAAGCATAAAGATGCTTGCAATTATTAGGAAAAAAAATAAAAAAAGCTAAAATTTTGAGTGTAAAAATATGCATGAGAATCGCTCCAAAATGTTAAAATTAGCATACTAAACAAATTTATGATACTTCTGAAGGAACGTCTTTTCATTAGTGCTTTCATAACATTGCGTCAATTGGCCACAACTTCATTTTTCATCCATTGGATCATTTTCAGTTGAACGCCTAACACTTGTTTGGCGTAAGGTTTAAAATTGCGTAAATAAGCTTCGAGGTGGTGTAAGGCGTAAGTCTCACGGACACAGAATTGCGTAAATGAGAATTTAAGAGTTTTAGCAGGTAAATAATAACAAGATTTTATCATACGATAAAAACATCTAAATAACTTGAAAAAACTTTCCTTAGACTTAAAATAAATACCTAAAGCCTATAATGGAGTGCTTGTAGAGGGCGGCTGGACCCTTCTTGCTCACCGGCGTGAGGCGATGCCGGCGAGAGAGGCGGCAGACAGCAAACGGAGCGGAAGTTTTGCAAACGAAAAATGGCTTTGCGGGAGGATTTTCGTTCGGTTCACTAGAGCAGAATGGTATAACAGGAGAAACAAGTCATTTTAAGTAGGTGGGACCCGGTTTAAATAGGCGTGCGCCTCACATAATATTGCGCAATAGTGCCTTAGAGGCGCGCCTCTTAACCCGTGAGGCGTACGCCTCACCTAGAGCCATAATTGCGTAGGCACTGAGGCTTTGCGTAGGCACTGAGGCTTTGCGTAAGCACTGAGGAGCTCGAGGGCTGAATTGCGCAAAGGCTCGCCTTGAGGCGCTCCTCTAATTGCGCAATTTTAAACTATGGTTTGGCTTCCGTCATTTGCTTCAGACGGTCGCCAAAAAAAACATCATTCGCATGAGGGTGAATAGTACAACATCAATATTGACGACGCACTGTTCACAAGCTATTTTTTTAAAATCCAAAAATTAGGTTAAGTAAAATATGAGAAAAATATACCCAATTTTTTTTAATGTTAGAAAATGAAGTTTGGAGACTAATTATAGCATTTTAAAATATTATTGTATTTTGAAATGAAAATTGAGTTTTTTGATGGGAAATTGCCTTAGAATTCATGGACAATCAACTTTTTTTATTTGTTTCTATTTACATGAGGAAAGCTACAAAAATGCGTAAATAATTGTAAAAATTAGGGCATTTACGTAGCAAAATACACTATATATATAATATATCAAAGCATTTTGTCTATTCAACACTTGCCACAGTCTTGCAATTATTTCCAGGGAAATTTGCATACATATCATTTTATTTTATGCTATTTACATATCTAATACCTAAAATATTAATATTACACGTCTACCACATATATACAACTTTAATATCAAATATATCACTCATATAATTCATTTCTACCTTTCATACCATCCTATAAACTTTAATATTTCATTCCATGCACCCAAATTTGTTCTATAAGTGGTAGTCATGTAATATTAATGTTTTAGATGTTAGATATGTAAATAACATGAAATAAAGTGGTATGTATGTAAAACCCCCGCTTTTTCAAATGTTGAATGACTTATCATAATTTATATAAAATATTTCACAAAGTAAATAATCTCTGAAGACTCCACTTGGTAGATTTCCATACGCAAATCCAACCCAAACTTTTCAATCTTTGAGAGAGTTTCCTCAAATAATCAAAGTCAATATGGGCATAGATATTAAATCAAATCAAGAAGACTTAATTGCTAATAAATCAAGATAATCACAACCACCACCATCTATCAAAAACACCATGAAAAATATAGCGATTCTTCAACTCATCTTCTTCATCTTCATCATCGTCCTCTGTATTATCATCATTGCTAGTGAAGACAGTGGAGGCGATACACTTACCACTTCGACAACCCTACGGGACGGCGATAAGCTTGTCTCTGCTTCCGGCATGTTCGCGCTCGGCTTCACTAGCCCTACAAATTCGTCTACGAAACGCTACATCGCCATCTGGTATAATAAAATTGCCACTCATGATATTGTCTGGATCGCCAATCGCAATCGCCCGATCGCCGAGCCTACTGCTGCCCTCACCTTGTCCTCCAATGGTACGTTGATGATTATTGGTGGTAACTCCTCCATCGTGTATTGGTCGTCATTTACCTCCACCATCGTTGATGATGTTGATGTCGCCACCACCAGCCCAGTAGCTCAACTCCTTGATGCCGGCAACCTCGTCATTAGAGGAGCCAACAATGGTAATTTGTAGTTATGAAATTATAAGTGTCAGTGCTTGAAAAAAAAAAATCTTCCTTATCTCTATTTTTTTTTTTTTTAAACAGAGTCCATATGGCAGAGCTTCGAACACCCAACGGACACATTCCTGGCCGGGATGAAGTTAGGGCACGATCTGCGAACCGGCCTCACCCGCAACCTCACCTCTTGGGCGAGCCCGTCCGATCCATCGTCGGGGCCGTACACCGCCGGCATTCAGCTTGCCGGCGTTCCCCAGCTCGTTATCGCTGAGGGTTCCACCTTGTCCTGGCGCGGCGGCCCGTGGATCGGAATCGGCTTTTCCGGCAGCCCGGAGACACGTGGCTCCCCTTTCTTCATCATCACCTTCATCTCTAACGCCGAAGAGGTCGAGTACTCCTACCAGCCGCTCGGAAACAAAATAACTAGGCTGATCTTAAGTCATGACGGATACGGGCAGCGTTTGGTGTGGTTGGATCCGCCGGGGCAATGGAGTCTCTTCTGGCAAGCGCCGGACGATCATTGCGACCAATACGCCTATTGTGGGGTTTTCGGGATATGCAACGCGAGCAATATGCCGATGTGTGTTTGCTTGCATGGGTTTCAGCCGAGGGATCCGGCGAATTGGGCGTTGATGGATTGGTCGGGTGGTTGCGTGAGGAAGACGGAGCTCGATTGCGGCAGAAACAAGACTGGAATCATTACCGATGGGTTTGTGCCGCTGACCTCGGTGAAGCTACCGGATACTTCAGTGGCGGTGGAGGATGAGAAGTTGGGGTTGGATGCGTGCAGTGCAAGGTGTTTGATGAATTGCTCCTGCACGGGTTATTCGTTGGCGAATTTTGCAGGCGCCGGGAGTGGATGCATTATGTGGATGGGACAGCTTTACGACTTGCGGGTCTATTCCAACAGTTCGCAAGTGTTCTATCTACGGGTGGCGGCCTCTGATCTTGGTAAGTCTTTGTTGTGCTTTGACTGGAAAAAAAAATTTGCTCTTTCTGTGTCCCCACAGTCATGACTCATTCTTGATTGCATTGGTTTTGGTTATTGGTGCGCTTGCGTGTTAGTTTTTTTGGACGATTTTTTTTACTGTTTAAAGCAGCTTATTTAAACAAAAATTAAATTTTTTTATCAAAAAATTATTTATGAAACAATAAAAAAATCGTCCCAAATAACCTTAGCCTATACTAGGGGTGTAAGTGAGCTGAGCCGGCTCGAACTCGACTCGATAACGAGCTCGCGAGCCTCGAGCTCAAGCTCGAGGTTAAACTCAAGCTCGTTTGTTAAACGAGCTCGAGTTCGAGCTCAATAAGAGCTCGCGAGCCGAGCTCGATTGATTATTTTAATAATAATAAAAAAAAAAACAGCGGCAATTCCAAATGAAAAAGGCGGAGACATGGGCATGAATTTTAAAAACCGGAAGATGTAATTCAAACAAATTAAAATATATATATATATATATATATAACCAATAAAAGCTAATTACAGCTGCTTTTTTTTTTTGAGAAGTGAAAAGCTGCAGCTTACCAGCTTATTTTAATATTATTTTTGGGAGAAATGAAAAGCTGCAACTGATAAAAATGCTATTTTATTTCAACGCTCAAATTCTTCTCCGATGGGATCGAGCTCCACGCAGACTAGGAAGACTCGTGCTCGAAGGCTGATCGGACCGCCCAGGCTCGCGAGCCGGCTCGAACTCGTTAACATGGGGACGAGCTCGAGTTCGAGCTCGCATTCCAACTGACGAGCTCAGCTCGATAGTGTCAAAACTCGACTCGTTTACACCCCTAGCCTATACTGTCTCACACTGCACAAACATATCAAAAAGTGCCTATCACACCATTCTTGATCAGCACTGATCTGTAGAAAAAAAAGTTTAGCACCTGTACAGGTGTGGAAAGCAACATGGTGATTTCTAATGTATTATATGGATGGTAATTTAAAAGGTTTAGGGTAATTTATTGCGTATTTATTAGAATCCAACTACTTTTCCTGGTTCAATGAAATTTTCCATTTTTGATGCTAAGATGTGGAGCCTAATTTTTGTCCTATGAAGTAAAATGCATTGCATAGGTTTATTTGTGGGTAGAATTTTCTTGTAAGGCCCCCGAAAGATATCTGATATTTGTAGGTTGTTTCATTAATGATGTTTGTAGATTTTTTGTGTATTTTAAGTTGCCCTAATTTTTCTTTATTAAGAGAGTGGAACCATTTAACACTGCCGTTGCCAGGTCCAAAGTCCTGGATGAGAAAAGTGGAGGGTTGCGTTATATAGTCGACAGCCAGCGTAAAACTTGTCGAACAATGATGACATGAATCCTTTAAGAAATTGTGTTAATGCTAGGGCGTCCCCTGGAAGCGACGCGCTGTATGGCCTGAATACAGTGACAAGTGTGCAAGGGCCGCTGCACCGGCGCCCGGGTGCAGTGTTAAATAGGCAAGGGTTCCCACATCAAGGACGGATGTGGGCAAAGAAGCTAGTCCATGAAACTAAAATTAGGATAGGAACTTGGAATATAGGTTCCCTTACAGGAAAATTAATGGAATTAATAGATATTATGATTCATATGAAGTTAAATATTTTGTGCAATCAAGAAACTAAATGGGTTGGAGAGAAGGCTAAGGAAATTGATAGTTTAGGATTTAAACTTTGGTATTCGGGTAG